TTTAATCTCCACATATTTGGAGATTTTCCAGTTACTTTTTCTTTTATTGATTTTAGTTTAAATCTCCTGTGGCCTGAGAGCAGACATTTTATATTTCTATTCTTTTACAGTTGTCAAGGTATGTTTTATGGCCCAGAATGTGGTCTACCTTGGTGAGTGTTCCATGTGTGCTTGAGAAAAATAGATCTGCTGCTGCTGTTGGATGAAGTAGCCTATAAATGTCAATTATATCTGGTTGATTGCTTGTGTACAACTGTGTCCTTACTGACTTCCTGCCTGCTGGATTTGCCCACTTCTGAGAAAAGACTCTTTGGATTTTAATGTAGATGTATGACAATATACTGAGAAATATGCTAGTGGTTTACAACAGAATCCTTATTTTCATTTTACCATTTAAGTTACAGCAAGTGTTCACCCCCTCCCTTAATATTTTCTCTTTTTTAATTTTTTTTTAAAATGTTCCCTCCCTTAATATTTTTAGAGAAAACAATCTATTCTCATTTCCAGATTTGCTTAGTGGGTGTCATTTGTGTCTAAAAAATCATATTTAATAATAATATATAATTAATGTCTTGGAAGCAAAGTATAATTAGGCTGTATGCCTGAGCATTTTTGGTTTTGGCTTGACTTCACCTAAGCACTTCCAGATGATTAAGCATTTTTATTGTCTTCAAAGACATATAGAAAGCAAGGCTTGAGTCTCCTGACATGGATTGATTCTAGTTTATATAATCTGCCATGTATGATTCTACACATTGGCCAGGCCTCCATGAATATACCACTTGGTATGGAGAGCTCTGTTTGGCAGTGCATGTCTGACTTCTTTCCAGTTCTCAGGAATACCCACTCCTTATATTCTGATGTCTCATAGATGTGAGGACTGTGTTGTTGGTATGGTTTAACAGCGTATACTTCCATCCCCCCAGCGGATAGAAAAAGCAGAATTCCCCTGAGACTCCATCATAAACTATTCTAAGGACATTTACTTAAAAATCTTAAATGCTGAGCACCTAAACCATTCCTCTTTTTAATTGTCTCTGCACCCACTCCACAGAAAAAGTTATGATTTAGTAGATCTTCTGATGACTAAAGTATTGCAGGCTAGTGGTCAGGCCATTAGAATAATAAGAAACAGTTAAAAGTGCTTGCTTGCCCCCTTGCAGTTATACTGTTTGGATGAGTGAGAAAAGATGAGTAAAAAGTTGAGATCAACTAATTACATAAAAATAGACACAAGACATTGCTCCTCAACATCACCTCTGACGTCCACCTGCCAACGATATATGTCACCTGGAACTACATGCGAAAAACCAGATGGATCCAAATGGAGGCACATTGTGCCAAGTAATGGCCATGGGTTCTTGCAAAATGTCAATGTCATGAAAGTCACAGTGCCTGAGGAAACGTTCTAGATTAAAGAATCCCTGATCAGATTCTAGATTCAAAAATAAAATTTCTCGGTTTTACAGGACATCAGTGGAAAAAACAATTAAATCTGGAGTGCATGTTAAGAGGATAACGGTATTGTTAAGTTTTCACTGTGTAGAGAATTATATTGAAATAATGTGGGTTAATATCCTTCATGGAAGGTACATGGTGAAATATTTTAGGCATCTGAAGTAAAAGATTTGCCACTAACTCTCAAGTAATTCAGAATAAAACAATGTGTACGTGTGTATACCTGCACATACATACCTATGAATGCACATTCACTGAAACTGTATACATATATAGTCAAATGCAAATATAAAGAAGAGAGAGAGAGACTGTGGTAAACGTTAACAATTGGTCAATCGTGGTATATGGCTGTTTGTTATACTATTTCCGTAATTTTTGCATAGGTTTGACATTTTTCAAAATAAAATGCTGGGGAGAAAAAGACAAGTCCCAAAGTGTCTTTTCCCCCGGCTTTGGTTTGGATATTAGTTAAGGTTCAGATAAACTAGAGTGGAAAATCCTGAAGCTACTAAAATAAATAATCTGTTCTAATCCTTTACAATATTTGGATATTTTGGCAATTATAAACAAGAGCAGTTGAAGGCTAACTAAATAAATATGTCTTCATATATATTTGACCCTGTAAGGGATGCCTGTTCAATGTACAAACAAATAAAATAACATAGCCAGGCATCCCGGCATGGTGATAATCACAAGTTTTTGATTTGAAAATATTTCCCAGTTTGAGAGTTATTGCTTTCAGCTGTAATAATAATGGGCTTTTCCACTAAAGGCAAAATACATAGTGTTTAAAATAAATATCATCAGTACCATTTTGTGGTGTTGAGGAAACATAAATGACCTTTTTTCTTTTTTTTTTAAACATTAAGGTCACTTGAAGTTCTCATGAACGTATGTTGGGGGAAACAGAATTCTGATGGACTAAACGTCAAAATAAAGACTGGTTACGAAAGGGTTTGCCCATCTTTTTAGGCAAGGCTAAAACATTTCTATCTGTGGCCTTCACCCAAGGATAAGCCTAGAATTTTGTCCAAGCCTGTTGGCTACACTTTCCTATGAAATCTGGATTTTTCCTGTTGAACGCAATTCAGAATGGAATTATAAGCTCAGGGGACGTCATTACTTACTTCCTAGGAATTGACTCAAACCAGTGTTGTTCTGAGCATTGCAGCTGTCTTTATGGTTATCCTGAGACCAGTTTTAAAAGGATCCACACATCGCTCCAAGGAACAGCAAAAGGTTTGAAGACATCTTCTTGATGTGATTTCACACTCTGATTTTTTTTTTTTTCCTAATGGAAAAGTAGGAACAAGTGGGGCCTCCCTCAGTCTGACATGATACATCTTTTAGCATGAAGGTTAAATAATTATTCACTTATAACACTAAATTCTATTTCTGTTTTTTTTTTCTTTTTTTCCTTAATTGCCAAAATACCAAGAACTATAGTGAATACCGTTGATCAAGTACTCACGAGGTTTCTGACATCATGCTAGGTGAACTACCTACAATTATCGAACACAAACACCACAAGAACCCTGTTGCTACTATTGTCTTACTTTATAGAGCAGGAAAATTTTATAGCTAAGTTAGTAGGTGGTGCTTGGTCTGATAATAAAGCCTTTCTTTTACCACTATAATATACTGTTTCCTGCAAATGAAGGACATTTATTTTTCTTTATTCCATCCTCCGTTTCAGAATGTGACAGATAGCATACAGAAGCACAATCAAATGGATTGAAACAAATTCTTTTCAGGTTGCAATTTTATTACTTTTCTCTACCAGCTGGACCGTTAGGTATTTTATGAGTGTGTTTATCTTTCTAAAGTCTTAACAAGGACGGACATTTATTTGTCAATTAAAATCTATACCACCAACTAAAGGAAACATGAGACATTCTGCAGGAATCATTCATGTCAAGGTAATTTGCCTTGATTTAGACCAATGATCATGGAAGAATTCAACTGAATTCTTGAGGACTCTCCTTGGAAGGAAGAGAAAACAGCAGTGGGAGTTTCTAAAGCAAAAAGTTTCCTCAACTGAATGTGTGTATGTCCATTCACTGACTCAAAAAGACTTGGCAGGTGGGAAAATTGAGTGCATATTCAACATCTAGTAGCTACTGCTTCTTGTTTTTGTCAACAAACATGATGTCAGTCCTTTGCTAGGCCCTGGAGTCACTCAGAGGCCACAGCTGCCTGCAAGTCTAAATTCCTAATCTCTGTTGAATTGCTATTCAAAGTAGGATGTTAGCAATAAATGATAATACCAATACTAAACAAGTCACTTATTAGTAATCATGACTGTTAGCATTATCTTTAAAATATAGTAATAAAGAGCCCACATTTTGGATGCCCTCAGGACATTTTCCTCATAGTATTTTTTGACTCTTTTTCTGAAAACAGCCACAAATCAGGTGGAAGATAACCAATTAGAAACTTCCATGTTGTAAACATTAAGCTTTGATAATACTCACCTTGGATGAGTGAGTTAATTGCCTGACTTTTCTCCAAGCTTAGAAGGCTGTTATATAGCCACATTCTGCTTAATTCCATGATTCACTTCTATTGTGAACCGTCGGAAACATGCATCTAGGTTGTACTCATTGAGAAATGATGTAATAATTCATTAAATCTTAATATGTTTTAAATTGTAAGCCTGATTTTGCGTTTATACTCAGCTAATTTTATTTTTCTGAAATGTGCTGATCAACGATTTTTTCTAATATGACCCATCATTATGAACATTAAGCCACCAGCTTTGCCAATAATGTCATCAGCTACTCTCTGTTCTTATCTGTTTTCTTTCAGACTGGTTTATTGGAAGGAGTATAATATTACAGAATCAAACAATGATTATAATAGGTTAATATGAGCATTTCACTTAAATTGGTAGTTATCCCTGCTTCTCTGAAAAAAGAATCCAGGAGAAAAATACCCAAATTGTAAGACCTCCTATAATTCAGGCTTAGAGAATGAGCTTGTTCTGGAACACAATGGGTGTTTTTACAGTGCAAATTATTTGTTAAATAAAAGCAACAATGAGTCAGGTGAGAAATTTAAAAGTAATACTTTTCAAATGTAGTATTTTTTTCTTCTTCTAGTAAGTTATGTTTTGGCTGCAACTTCCCCTATAGAAAAGTTGTATCAGCTTTAAATTCTTGAGTATTTTACTTCTAAAAAGATCCTATATTAAGTTCAAAATTACATAAAATTACATATTTGCTTTCATTATAGAATATTTATGACAGATTATGATTTATGATTATAAATTATGATTTATGATAGAATATTTAGGATTATAGTTGTAATTGTTTGACAGTGGTTTGTGTAAAGTTCATTCACACCCATCCTTGAAGCTCCATATTTTATTTTATTACAAGGACTATGTAAATTTTCATTTTCTGCTTATAGATTTTATCTTGGATTTTAAAAGAATTGTTTTTCAGTGTGAAATCTATGATACCAAACAACACAGTCTCATTATAAATTCCTTTAGGCATGAGATTTCAAGAGACTTGTGAATATATAAAGTGATTAAAAAAAAAAGTTCCAAGCTCATGGAGTTAGTCACAAAATGTGTAGGTAGGATCACTCACAAAATCTCCAAAAAACTCTGCCTAAAATCATAGATCAAAAATACAGGAAGATTTACTCATTATAGGTCCTACCATGTTATTTGCAGTTCAAATAATATTATTGAACTTCCCTTCCCCTTTCTCCTCTCTGTGCCCTGCTTTCATTTCTTGCATTTATTTCCACAATATGACAAAAAATTCCCCAACTAAAAATAAGACAGAGGAGGGGGTGCCTGGGTAGCTCAGTGGGTTAAGCCTCTGCCTTCAGCTCAGGTCATGATCTCAGGGTCCTGGGATGGAGCCCCAGGAGGGTTCTCTGCTCAACGGGGAGACTGCTCCCCCCTCCCCAATCTCTGCCTGCCTCTCTGCCTACTTGTGTTCTCGCTCTGTCAAATAAATAAGTAAAATCTTAAAAAAAAAAAAAAAAGAGAGGAAATCTTTTTTGACTCTCAGATCCTTCCAACTGTCCATTTCTCAGCTCTTATTCACAGTTAAACTTCTCAAAATGTTTTCTTTCCATATTGCTTTCATTTCCTCACCTCCCATTTTTTGTATCAGTTTTTTTTTTTAGTTGGCATTGCACTGATATTTTCCCAGACATATTTCAGCCAGATAAGGATAGTTTTTAGGTAGAAATGCATTATACACTATTTTTTTTGCCAGCTGGATCATTAATAAGTATAAACTTATTGATAGTGGCTTTTTTTTTTGCTATTATAAAAATTAAATATTGCCAAAGAATGTACATGATTGTGCACTTAGCATATTTACATTTTCTTCTTAAGAAAAATTTTTATTACAAAAAAAGAAGTATCTATTTTGAAAAAAATACTTGATTATGAAATATTTTAATATCTACAATAGCAGACCTACAGAGCCCATAGAAAGAGTACACATGGAAGCTTACTTACCATTTGATAAATATTTAACAGGTCTGTGTCATGCTAATGATGAAGTATGTCCTGCAACCTTGATAATCATAGCCTTGTAAAACCTAGAAGACCAGGTTTGAATTTAGAATCCTAGGATCCGTGGTGTCTCATTCATGCTCATACCACCAACACCCTCCTTGTTCTATACTAACAGGAACTTTGCACACATACACTTACACATCAAAGGCTACATATTCAGGATCTACCCCAGCCTTCACAAATGGTTACCCTTGGCTATCCAGCAAAGTTAGGTGTGCATATAGTAATAACACAGTCTCCTGCTGAGAGGTTGGATCCAGGGAATAGAACGACACAGTCGCTGCAGTTGGACTAGGGTCATTTGGGCGGGGTCTGTGCACTAGAACAAGGTGCTGGTATCAGGTGGGTACCTTCCTGGGGTGGCTGATTTATTGCATTTGGAAGATTTCATTGCAATATTCATACCAGCATTGTTAAAAAAAATCTAGAGGCAACCCAGTTACTGGTTAACAGAAGATTGGATAGTTTGTGTGACACAATGGAATACTACAAAGCAGTGAAAAAACATATGCATGTATTATAAGTATTTTATATAATATTCTTTAGAGTCATATTTATGTAACCAATTAATTATGACAATGCTTTTACTGATGTTTTAGCTGTAGCCAACCTATGGTTGCAATTGGTGAATGTGTGTAGTATAGAATAATGGATGATACTCTTGTTTATGTTAATAAATAATACAAAAGTGAAATAATAAGATGTGTTGAAAATTCACCATTTGTCAGCGACATCAATGACTTCTTTGTTAAATCAGATACTAACATTTGAGTACTGAAAACCTTTTCTTAATTATTTTGTACTACTCAGTGTAATGGCCATAGACATGATACACTTTTAAGTTTAATCTGCATTATTAACAGTTTTTCCATTATGCTTCTATGTCTGGACAATACAAAAAATAACATATCAAGCTCTGATTTCTAACACTGAACATTTCCTTGGTATAAAGACTTTCCAAATTGCCAGTGTCAAGCTACTACCAGGGTATTGCTGAAAGCAGAGTTAGGAAAACACATGCAGTAGTCCACATTACTCAGTGTTTCCACTCTACAGATCAAAGGACACACAGAACATGCAATTTAATAAACTGCAGTAAAAATAAAGAAGTGATGAGTTTGGAGTATTTATTTTGTTATTAATATGATTTACTTAATTTTAAGTTTATACAGTTTACTTGTTAATAATGACCATATTAACAAATAGCTTGTAAAATTTTTTAAAAATTTCACAGTTGGCTATTGTCAGCTGGTTCAAACCAGCTCTAGCGCAGTGTTGCCCAACACCACTGACTGACTAGTCTGTGTGGAAAGTTTCTGGGTTTGCTAGTCCCTTCTATTGTCCTATTTCCTTATTTCTGCTCCAATACAACACTATTAAGTAATTCAGTTTTAAAACTCAACTCAAGGAGAGCCTGGGTGCCTCAGGCAGTTAAGCAGCCAATTCTTGATTTCGGCTCAGGTCGTGATCTCAGGGTCGCTGGATTGAACCCCATGTTGAACTCTGAGCTCAGTGTCTGCTCAATGTTCTTTCTGTCCATCTTCCTCCACCCCTCCCCCTGCTCTCAGGAACACTTTCTCTCTCAATATCTGGAAGGGCAATCTTTTCAGAGGTTTTTGTTGTTGTTGTTGTTGTTGTTTTTATTTATTTTTTTTTTCTGAAATCTCTTTCTTGGCTGTTCTTGTGAAGGGGTATTTTGAGACCTCTGTCTTCACTGTACATTTTGTAATTATTTTGTGAATTTCCCAAAAACTGTCTTAGAATTTTGGATGAAATTCCATTGAATAATAGGTCAGTTTGATGAGAATAGATATCTGTATGATACTGAGTTTTCTTATACATTAATACTGTATGTTCTTTTTAAGTCTCCTTCACATTTTTAATACAATCTTTAAATGTTTAAAACTTCTTTTTTAGATTTATTCCTAAATATTTTATATTTTTGGTTGCTGGTGTAAAGACTTGATTGTCTTTCTTTTTTTCTCTTAAGTCACCTTCATTGAGATGTAATTTACATACAGTGGATGCACTAACTTTATATGGTTGGTTTGATAAATTTTGACAAGTACGTACACTCGTGTAACCACCTCCATAATCAGGATGTGAGACATTCCTATCATCCCAGGAAGTCCTCATGGCCCCATTTCAGTCAAATCCTCCCTCCCTTCTAAGTCACTGATTCACTTTTTGTTACCACAGAGTCGTTTTGCCTCTTCTGGACATTCATATAAATGGAATTATACAGTATATACATTTTTACATCTCTCTCTTTTTGCCAAGCATAATATTCTTCTCCAAATATTTTATTTATAAACTTGCCGGTGTATGGCAATGAGATTTATGTTTGACGAAAATTGATGTTATGTACAGTTGTTTTGTTAAGCCCTTTTATTAAACCTAATAATTTATCTGGGGCTATTTTAGTTTTTTATTGTGAATAATAATACAATCTGGAGATAAGGACATTTTGATTTTTTCCTTTCCAATCCTTATACCCTTTATTTTTTCTTGTCTTATTATGCTAGATCAGTGCTAAATTGAAGTTGTAATAGTAGACATCATTGTGTTTCTCTTATTTTCCACAAGAATGCTTCTCTATATTGTACCATTAAATTTAATCATTGCTGTAGGTGTTATATAAACAGATTTTATTAGGTTAATGAAATTTCTTTCCATTTCCAGTTTGTTAACATTTTTAAAAGTCATTAATGGATATTGGATTTTATTAACTGCTTTTTACTGTAGTTATTGGTAATCAGTGTTTTTCCTTTAATGTCCCATTTGCATAGATATTTATGAGTGAGATTGGCTTCAAAAACCAAAGTTTGGCAAACTTTTTCTTAAAGAGTCAGTTGATAAATATTTTCAGCTTGCAGGCCATATAGTCCATCACAAATTCTCAGCTTTTTTATTACAGTATAAAAGCAACCACAGATAATATTTATGTCTGTGTTTCAGTAAAGCTTTATATGAAAATATAGGCAGCCAGGAGAGTCTGGGTGCCTTAGTTGGTTAAGTGTCTGACTCCTGATTTCAGCTCAGGTCATGATCTCAGGGTCATGAGATCAAGCCCTGTGTTGGGCTCTGCACTAGGTGTAGAGCTTGCTTAAAACTCTATCTCTGGGTGTTACACACAGACAATGAATCATGAAACACTACAGCAAAAAGTCACATAACATAATAAAAAAATTAAAAAAAAAAAAGACTCTCTCTCCTCTCCCTTTATCCCTCCCCCTCACTCGCCCACAATCACTATCTCTTTCTCTAAAATATTTTTTTAAAAAGGAAAATATAGGCAGCCAGCCTATAGATAATGTTTTGCTGGCTCCTTTTATAAAACACATTCAAATACCTTTCTGATACTAGGATGATTTATATTTTCTATGTCTTCTTGAGTCAGTTTTGTTAAGTTACATTTTAAAATATTTTTTCCATTTCATCTAGAATTTAAAGTCATTTTTCCAGTTGTGTTATTTGTAGTTCTCCTTTATTTTATTTCATCCTACTCTCTTGTAAGATGTTTTAATTTGATACTAGTCTCTTTTCTTCATCCATCTTGGAATTTTTTTTTAACAAAACTTTAAGCACAGCCAAGGAAGTGGTGATATCATATTTGTCATCCTTCTAACCCACAAATAATTTGACTTTTCTACAGATGGTAGATCACTCCCTCATGTGGTTCATCCAACTCCGTTCTATGTTGCATCCTTTCTTAACCTACATGCTCAAATAAAGGGATCATCTTTCATATGTGGGGGAAGACAGTCTTCTCCCACATTCAGCGGCGCAGGATATTGGTCCTTGTGAATGGATACTGAAAGGAAGCACTCTTTGAACCCTTCGTGTATGCCCAGCACTCCACTACGTGTTACACGTGTATCATCTCACTCAGTCTTACTTTTAAAGGTTTTATTTACATTCCAGTTAGTTACATACAGTGTAATATTAGTTTCACATGTGCACTTTAGTGATTCAACACTTGGTGCTCATGACAACAGATGCACTCCTTAGTCCCCATCACCGGTGTCACCATCTGCCACCCACCTGTGTGTTCTCTGTAGGTGAAGTCTGTTCCTTGGTTTTCCTCTCACTTTTTCCCCCTTACCCTAAATTCTACATATGTCGTATCGCTTAGTCTTCCAGTTGTTTTACTGA